CGTTTGTGGTTAACCGGCACACTAATCTGGGACTGACAGTGTGTGGAAAAGGGTAGCTTGATGTTAATCATAGATCAATGGAGCGCATGTGGTTAACCGGCACATTGATTAGGTGATTTGTAACATTGGGTGTACCATGTTAATTTGCATGGTTATTCACGCCTTGTTTGTGATCCTCGACATCCTAGTCACAAACTTGAAGGGTACAATCAAGATTTAAACATGCCTTGGAAAAGTTCAAAACCAATTAAAACCTAATAATCTATTTTCTTTTTCATGGTGGAAATTGGTAAATTGTCATTTACCTACCTTCAAATATTATGCAATTGGATTACGGCATCCTTCTTCGCAATTGTAGAATATTGTGTTGGATCCTAGCCTTAATATTTCATATTGGGTGTAATATTAAGGATTCTCATCTAATCTAAACTTTGTGCTTCTTCTTTTTCAGATGTCTACCCCAAACAATGCTTCCACACCAATTCCTTCAGGCTCTTTCTCCCTAATGAACCTATGTGGGAGGGTCATTTTTGATGGCTTGAATTTCAATGATTTGATTCGAAACATCAGAATGACTATTCGTTATGAGGACAAATAATATGTCCTTGATAAATAGTTAAAAGAGATTGATGTCACCACTGCTACTCCTGAACACATCGTTGAACACACTACTCATGAGAGGGATGCGCCAAAGGTGTCGTGTCTTATGATTGCAACCATGACTGATGAGCTGCAGAAGTCCTATGAGGACTACTATCCTTATGAAATGTATCATGATTTGATGGAAAGATACCATCAAGGTGTTCGATAGGAAAGGTATGAGATCATTGCCTCCAAGATCACAACCAAAATGAAGGATGGTGAACCCATCACAGCCCACTTGCAGAAGATGTAGAGATATGTAGATCGCTTGATAAAATTGAATGTCAATTTTGATGAAGAGTTGGCCATAGATATAATTCTACACTCTTTACCCTCTTGTTATGATCAGTTTCGTATGACTTATCATATAAACAAGGAGGATTTCACACTTCGCAAGCTTCAAGGGATTTTAAGCACTGTAGAAAGCAACCTTTAAGGCAAATCCGTTATGTCTACTCCTACTACTACTTCTGCCCCTGTTTTGGCAGTAGCACATGGAAAGGGAAAGAAGAGGAAGGCTCCATTTAAGAGCCACAAGGTAAAATACATTGATGGATCCTCTTCTAGTGGGACCAAAGTTGGTTCCGTTAATCCCTCTTCCAATCCGAAGGATGCTGATTGCTTCCATTCTCATAAAAAAGGGCACTGGAAACGGAGCTGCCCCAAGTACTTGCATGACATAAAGGATGGGAAGATTAAACCCTCCTTTGTAGATATTTACACTATTCAATCTAATAACTCATCACATGTTAATTCTTGGGTCCTTGATACAGGTTGTGGATTTCATATTTGTTCTGATTTGGAGGGACTAAAAAGAAGTAGGGATGTGGAGCACCGGAAGATAAACTTAATCAAGGGAAATAGGAAAATATCGCATGTGACGAAGATTGGAGTTTATTCTTTATTTCTTAGAAATGGTTTCAATTTATATTTGAATAATTGTTGTTACTCGGACGATATGGCGAGAAATATTATTTCTTTTCACAGTTTGTACAAACAAGGTTTTACCTTTTCGTTTAATAATGAAGTTGGTGCAATTTATGCTTATTATAATGGTGTATTTTATTTTGAAGCACTACCTTGCAAAGGTGTATATGAAACTGTGAATGTTGTAGATAACTTAAGAAATAATGTGTTGAATATTGATTCGTCCAATGCTTTGGACAAGGCGTGCTTGTGGCATTGTCATCTTTGATATGTCAACAAGAAGCGCATAGCCCAACTCCAATAGGATGGAGTCTTGGAGTCATTCGACTTAAAGTCGGATGACACTTACGAATCATGTTTACTTGGAAAGATGACCAAGTCACTATTTAGTGGTTCTTGTGAAGGGAGTGAAGGTTTGTTGGACCTCATACACACCGATGTGTGTGGACCATTCAGAACCGCCACAAGGGATGCTAACCGCTTCTATGTGACTTTTACTGATGATTACACTAGGTATGGCTATGTCTACTTAATCAAGTATAAGTCAGAAACTTTTGAAAGGTTCAAAGAGTTTAAGAAAGAAGTGGATACTCAATTTGACAAGAAGATAAATATGCTACGATCCGATTGTGGAGGAGAGTATCTTAGTATCAAGTTCCTTGACTATCTTAAGGAATGTGGAATTGTTTCACGATTGACGCCACCTAGGACACCATAGCTTAATGGTGTGGCTGAGAGGCAAAATAGGAACTTGCTAGACATGGTTTATTCCATGATGAGTTGAGTTTCGTTACACATCTCATTATGGGGGTATGCCTTAGAGACTGCTGCCCATATCCTTATTCTAGTCCCTACCAAAAAGTTTTCCAAAACACCTCACGAGATGTAGACTTGGAAGGTTCCCACATTAGACCACATCAAAGTTTGAGGCCGCGAGGCTTTTGTGAGAAAAGAAACTCACGACAAGCTCAAACCTCGGAGTGAGTGATGTATTTTCATCGGCTACCAACAGAAGTCCTTTGGATATCTCTTTTATAGACCAAGTCACAATGTTGTCTTCATTGTGAGGAGATGAGTATTTCGAGAGAAAGAACTCATATGCCAAGAGGATAGTGGGAGGAAAATTGACCTTGAAGAGCTTCAAGATTTAAGTGATGAAGGAACCTTAAACACTAGCACTCAACCCGAGGAGGAAACTCCGATTGAACCAATTTACAAGTTGGTAGCTCCGAGGCGTTCCAGTAGAGTTAGTGTTCCACCTGTGTTATATGGTTTTCATATAACAACTGAAGGTGATACATTTATCAGTGATAACACACTGATAAATTTGGATGGACTGAACAACTTCAAGGAAGTCATGGCAGGCTCCGAGTCTGCTAAGTGGAAAGAGGCTATGCACAACGAGATTCAGTCCATGTATGACAATCAAGTTTGGAACTTGGTTGATAATGTACCGGTCTGGAAGATAGTCGGGTGCAAATGGATCTTCAAGAAAAAGACCGACATGGATGAGAATGTACACACATATAAGGCACAACTGGTTGTGAAGGGCTTTACTCAAACTCCGGGAGTTGACTATGATGAGACCTTCTCACTAGTAGAAAAGATTAAATCTATAAGGGTTATGCTAGCCACAGCTGCATTTCATGACTACTAAATATGGAAAATGGATGTCAAAACTGCTTTCCTTAATGGAAAGTTGGCTGAGGATGTTTACATTAGTCAGCCAGAGGTTTTTTTTTCAGTGCAGAGTACCCTAATAGAGCGTGTAAGCTTGAGAAATCCATATATGGATTAAAACAAGCATCTTGCAGATGGAATCTTTGTTTTGATGAGAAAGTCAAAGATTTCAGATATTCGAGAAGCGAAGATGAGTCCTGTGTATATGTTAAAGTTAGTGGGAGTATAGTTAGCTTTCTGGTATTGTATGTGGATGATATACTCATCATAGGAAATGACATACCAACCTTACAGGAGGTCAAGTCCTAGCTTGGGAAGTGTTTCGCTATGAAGGACCTCGGAGAAGCGGCCTATATCCTAGGGATAAGGATATTGAGAAACAGAAGTAAAAGACTAATAGGATTTAGTTAAAGTACTTACTTGGAGAAGGTGCTGAAACATTTCAGCATGGGGAACTCCAAGAAAGGTGACTTACCTATCCAAGGAAATACCAAACTGAGTAAGACTTAGAGTCTGAGTACAGAGGCTGAGATGGAAAAAATGAGTCACATACTATATGCTTCTGCAGTTGGTTAGGTCATGTATGATATAACTTGTACTCGCCCTAATGTGGCCTTTGCTTTGAGCATGGTCAGCAGATATCAAGGGAACCCTGGTAGAGCTCGTTGGACTGCGGTTATATGCTTGTACTAACTACTCATTAAGTCATGCACAACGATACGTTTTATAACATCTAGTTACCGATGCATTTTCATATAATCAATGCACCACCAACTCATAGTCAACAACTCATATACCTTAATTTGAAGACTATATGATATTATCATCTCACAATCACTCGTGATAAATTCCATGAAGTGACTCAGGTGAGTGTGGGTTGATCTAATGATCAAATCCTATTGCACAAGCACTCATGAATGGTGTAGCAGACTTTTGCTATGTCTAACACCTCAGATAATTTTACAAGCCAACTCATGACAATCTTGCTTCATACTTACTTCTAAGGTATGATCGATTGTGGATAGTTTGAATAATCTTATTATTTGGGAAATCAAAACATGCAAAATTGAAACACAAGGATAATACTAATTCAATATGGCCCCAAAACTTTTGAGGGGCTAATGGCATAAAAACCCTCATATTTGCACAAAATTTACGGATTTGCCCAAAGTTCAAATTTAGGTCCGTTTTTGCCTTAAACTTGCATTTAGTGTGTCATTTTTGCCAAGTAGTCGGTTTCCCTTTAATCAACCGGTTACCACTTGCTTAGGTGGAAGGATCATTAACGTCGTTTGGCAAAAAAAAAAACTCCAATTCCGTTACATACATTAAACTGTCGCATCTCATCTCCCTGTATAACCTGATTACTCTTCACCTTTTCCCATTTCATCGACTGTATACATAGAGAGAAAAAAGGGTTTTCTTGGAGACGATGAGGGTAAAAGTTTCTTCGAAAGGTAAGGTTTTTACAGGTTGACTGAAATTACGTTTACATTCAACATTTCTTGAAATGTGTTCCTAAAGTTATTGTGTTAATGCAGGAGGGTGTAATGTCTTCATCAGACGAAGGGTACGCTGACCCCTTTGCTGGCATACATGAGCCATTTGCTGGCTTGAGTGAAATGGATTTTGAACTCCACGACATTTACATGGACCACGAACCAAAGGAAGAATTTGTGTCCTAACTCGATAAATGTAAGGATATCTTCCTAAATGTTCTATTAAGTGATGAAAACCTACGAAATTCTAGTATGGCAGATGAAGTCAGAGCACAAGTGTACCATGCTACTGATTCGCAAAGTGATGAAGATGAACATGAGGTATTGAAAAACAACCATAGACCTCATGACCCAACCATCAAGTGGGACAAGATGGTACCAAAGCTTGGTGACATCTTTGAATCCCCTGTCCAACTGAAGTTTTGTGTCACCAATTATGCAGTGTCACATGGCTATAGAATATACTTTGAAAAATGTGATAGTAAAAGAATTATAGCTAGATGTGGCAATAGGAAGGAAGAAAATAAATTCCCTTTCCGAATTTATGTTGCATGGATGTACAAAGAAAGATATTTTCAGATCAAAGCTATGAATGGTGACCATAAATGTTGTAGGTAGTTTAAGTTTAGGTCCATTGTGTCCCCTGAATGGATTGGAAGACATTATGTGACTGAAATTGCAAATAAGCCAAAGATGAAACTTCAGGAAATGATTGATGACATCAGACAAAGGTATAGGTGTGTGGTATCTATAGGACATGTTAGAAGGGCAAGGAAATGGGCCAAAAATTTAGTAGAGGGTAAACTCACTGAGCATTATGCAAGGATATAGGATTATGCCCATGAATTGTTAAGGTCAAACTTGGGGTCAACATGTCAAGTTGGTGTAACAATGAATCCAGATGGAAAGAATTATTTTCACAGCTTTTACATTTGTTTCAATGCACTAAGTGATAGTTGGAAAAGAGGGTGTAGGAGAGTAATTGGGCTTGATGGGTGCTTTCTAAAGGGGAAGGTGAAGGGACTGTTGGATTAATGTCTAAGTCCATAACTATAATTGGTAAGACTTGACTCGACCCGGCATGGTCCATTTGGGTTGCATACCATCATGCACTTGGATAGAGTATAATGAGAGAAATAAGACACTTATGGTTATTAATATATTATAAGTTCTAGTATATTAATAATAAGAATAATAAGATTATTTAATTAGTATTGATCAAGAATTGATCTAGGATTAATTAAGTGATCAAAAGAAGACTAATTAAATATATGGGTTGATTGTGTAAATCATCCATACTTATATAGTGGGCTAATGCTCCATGGATAATCAAGTTGGGCTAAAAACCATAGGATGGTCCATGGATGCTCCATGGTGTATTTGAACCCATGGATCCAAGGAAATGGAAAGCCATGACAATTAAGGATTTACCCTAATTGTAACACTATATAAAGATATTATTCTTGACAAAAATCGGCCACTAGAGAGTGTAACAAAGGGCTAGCCGATTTCATGAAGTGTAGAACTCTCTCAAGTTATTCTAAGTGTTTTGATGATTGTGATTCCATTTGAGGCTTCCACACTATTGGGGCTAGGCACTCAAGCTTCATGAAGACTTTCTACATCAAAGAGGTATGTATTCTATCTTGTTACACTCATTGTTTTGTATGCTAGATTAGGATAATACCTTGGATGTTCTTATTTGCATGTATAATAGAGAAAACATAGATCCAAGGTATTTAGGGTTGCATGTACACTTAGGAGTGTTAGAATGCTCAAAACCCAACAGTGGTATCAGAGCCTAGGCTTGTTTTCTTGTTATACTTGCAATAGAGCTGAAAAATCGAGTTTTGATGCTGTCAGCCCAGCAGACTCGCCGAGTCCATGAAGGGACTCGACGAGTCCAAGGCAAAATGCATCCAACTCGCCGAGTTTTGTTCATGCACTCGACGAGTTGGACCCCAGACAGCATATTTTCGAGGTTTTTGGCTAGAAATGGACTAGGAACATTACCCTAAGTTGTTTTTGAACTTATAAACTTGTTTTTTAATGTGGTAATGTTCATGCTAATCCATTTTCAAAGATAATTGTCAATAGATTCATGTTTTGTATTAGTTTAAGGTTTAGACTAATTACATGAAGAAGTTTGATATGAATTATCTTGTTCTTATGAGTTGCTTAGATTAATAGAAAAGTTAATTGAAATAGTTGTTTTCAATCCATTTTAATCTAAGAGTTGAGTATAAAATGTGTTTGTGTAACTTGTCCTCAAGTTACATGAAGAGTCACATTAAAGACTCATAAAACTCATAAAAGTTGGTAATGGTTACAAAATGAAGAGTCTTGTGTCATTGAATTTTTTTTTATGACTCCATAACTTGTCCTCAAGTTATGGAAATTCAAGAGTCACTTCATTAATAAATAAATAAATAAATAAAGTGTAACCTTAATTAATTCCATAAGTTATAAAAATAAAGAAAAGTTAATTCTTTTATTAGTTTAAAGTCTTCCATAAGTTATGGAACTTGAAGAGTTTTTTGGATTAAAACTACTTTAAACACATAAGTTATGGAATTAATTAGTTTTGAATAGTTTCAAAACTTGCCCTCAAGTTTTGGAATTTGAAAAGTTTTCACTTATGAATACTTTAATTCCAAGTTAGCCCTTAGAATTTTAAAAGTTAAAATTCAACACTTATATTTATAACATTAATGGTTAATTATTATATATATGTATAAGAACAAGTCGTTTTACCGTTAGTAGGCCTCATTCACGAAACCGGTCTATAAGGTTGTTGCCTATAAAATGGTGACTTAATGGGTGTCCACTCTCACCCACCGCTTGCTTGACTGGTGGAGGGTCGTTAGCCGAACGGGTAGGACAATGACTTTAAATTCTCCCTTCATTAAAAGTATTAATGATAAATACTAAGTAACTAAAATCTTAATAATTCCCAATCTTAGTTACTTTAGGAAAAATGTGAATTTGGTGCTAGCCCATGGAATTCACACTTTGTACCTTACCAAGTCGTTGGTGGAGCGTGTGTGGTTAACCGGCACACTAACTTGGACTAGTAAGGACCACGAAGGGTGACTTAATGTTTGTCATAGATCAATGGAGCGTGTGTGGTTAACCGGCACATTGATTAGGTGATAATATTAAGGGTACCAAGTGAATTGGTATGGTTATTCACACCTTGTTTTGTGATCCTCGGCATCCCAGTCACAAAATTTGAGAGGGCACACTCGAGATTGAAACATGCCATTGAAAAGTTCAATGAATCTCAAAAGATCTAGGAATTTCAAATCCAATTAAAACCTAATAAATTATTTCGTTTTTCATGGTGGAAATTGGTGAATCGTCATTCGCCTACCTTCAAATATTTTATAGCTTGGATTACGGCATCCCTCTTCTAAGTTATAAAATAGTTTGTTGGGTCCTAGCCTTAATATTTCATATTGGGTGTCATATTAAGGACTTTAAATCAACTATCTTGAATATCTCCCAAAACATGTCTGGTTTAGACATTTATGATCTTCCCAAATCTCTTGAAGATGATGTTCCTCAACATCATGCTTCACTTCCTCTATCTCCTCCAATTATTCTCCCTCACCCACAAGTTCTTGAAAAGTTTAAGGTCACTCGAGCCCTATTGGCAAGTAAAGGTCTTGGTGTGGTCACATCTTGGAGATGTAGTCACATATTGACAAGCCGGGAGAGTTGGGTGTCAAAGTCTTGAGAAAGTTGGTGGTTCAATCACTTTCTAAGTCACATAGTGAGTTCTTTTGGAACACCTATGAAAAAGACTATGACAAGACCCTTAATGATTTTATCTATTTGTTAAGATCAACTTCCTCAAAACTTGATGGACATTGACAATAGTGACACAGGAAATCCAGAAAAGCATTCTCTTCCCAATGGAAAGGGATCGGCCATAGTCAACTCGGTTGACCAAATGGTAAAGAGAAAAACTAAGTCTGTGATAGTCCGTGTACCATTATCAAAGGGTCCATATGTTTATATTGCCAAAGAAAGGGGCATTGGTTGCAAAGCTGCCATAATTTACCTAAGGATGTTAAAGTCGATAAGTTTGACTCTACTTCAGGTAAAGTCCACTGTCTAACTCTATTAAGTTTCTATTTGAGATTCTTGATACATGATGTGACTGGGTCACATGGTGATGTTTTAAGAATCAAAGAAAAGGTAAAGAAACTTAAAGAAAGAATATGCTGAATCTGATCGCGTAGATGGATTTCTATCGCGTAGTTTGAAGATCGGATTCTTGAGCTACTTCTTAGGAGTTATAATATATTGCTTGTGAATAGATAACAACAAGTTTTCATGTGGATTGTAAGGATAAGTTTTTCCGCAAAGTTTTAAAATAAAAGAAAAAAAAGGGTTTTAATTTTATTTATTTTAAAAAATATCCTTACAATGGCATCTGTGGAAAATTGTTGCTTATATGTTTCCAGTAATAGCAATATTGGAAAGTGGATTTGATTCTTTCATTTGTGGTAGTGTCTGAATTTACCAAATGAAGAAAGTTTTTCATCACCCAAGTTTCAATTGGACAGAAACTTGGAATCATACAAGTTGTATTGTATGATGAATGAGAATTTTCATCTTTGAAAAATTAAGACTAATTCTTTGATCACATGTATATGTGAGTCAATTGAAGGACTAAGGAATTAGGTACACTGGGTGTGCGCTGGTCAAGGTCCACCACAAAGATTGATTTGTCATGATTTACTAAAGATTAGTAAATATGATTATACTTATAAGGTTAAGTATAATTCTGTAACATTGGAAAGGTTACAATGTATGCAACGAATAAGAAGAATCAAATTAGGCAGAAGGATAAAAGTTTCTCAAATCTGAAAAGATGGGAGAGTACTTTAGTATCAGTTTTATGATCATCTTAATGATTTAGAAACCATATCACAAATTCATACTCTAAGGACGTCTTAGTGCATTGTTATGGCTAAGAAGAGAGGTCATGAATTGTTGGATTGGTTAAGATCAAGAAGATGAGTCATACTTCGTTCCAAAACAATTCTTAGAGTCATACTCCAAGATTGTAACATTGAGTGACATAAAGTAAGGTTTAAAACACTTATCAAATGTAGTGTGAAATGTTTCTACTCTTGTACATTTGAGATTGGTAAGTTGTGATGTCTTGGATGAGACAAAGACCAACTAAGACCAATTGTGTGAAGTGTTAGTCTTGATAAGAATCCGCACTATCCCTTGAATATTTGTTTTGTCAAGGAATGGTTCTTGACTAGGAAAACTTATATGTCAAGGGACAGTGGGAGCCTTAAAGATCCTGAAAGAGTTTCAAGATTTAATCAAGAGTAAAACCTGTAATTTATCACTAGCACACGACTTAAGGTTTGCAACCTATCGTGTTGACATAATTCTTATTTCTGTACCTACTTCAAATAAGTTGATTTGCATGTGAGTTATCAGAGTTCAACTTGGAAGCATTGGTGGGCCTTGTGCTACCAAGGTGACAAGAAACTAAGATTGAATAAGTTTAATCCATGTAAGGCTGAATTTGTCACTAACCTTATCTTGTGATTATGGTTTTGACAAATTCGCATGGATAGGAACTCATACACTATAAAATCTAAGTGTCATAAGGTTTCTCTCCGATTCATGAAAATGATGGTGAGGAAACGCTTTCACTAAGTAGATTTTACGTAGATATCAATTGTGTTATTTGCATTTTCAAAAGTCGTTAGTGGAGCGCGTGTGGTTAACCGGCACACTAACATGGACTTGTGAGAAATGGCAAATGCCTAAGCAATTGAGACTATGATTACGGCATCCCTTTTCATAGTTCTGAAAATTGTTTAGACACACATGTGAGCTATCTAAGAAAGGTGTATGAATCTAAATTTCAGAAGTCCAGCAGATTTCTGAAATATGTCAGAGCTAGTGGGAGCATAAGTGTTATGCTGATAATCATCATGTTAGTGGGAGCATGATTATTATGATTAGTATTGCAAGCTAGCAATGTTAATTATAGAAAACAAAGTTTCAATCCGTGAAGTTGCAGGGGTTGAAAAGTTGTTTTGCTATAATTAAGGGAGAGGAAATTATACTTCATTTCAATTCTAAAGCTTAGATTGAGATTTTAATCATCTTTAGTCAAGAATATATATGAATTTTGTGTTGGAATGGTTCAACTTGAAGAAATTCTATATATATTGCATTTTCAAAATTCGATTATGATTACGGCATCCCTCTTCATAGTTAAATTTTGAAAACATGGCAAATAAAAAATATTGTAGCAAAAGACTGGTCTAGTATCATGTCTTTATGTCAAACATCATGAATCGTGTCCCATATGCTTCGGATATAGGATCGATTTCACGTGCTATAATATTCATCCTTTCTAAATTTTCCAAATGCTTAAGGCATTTAGAAGGGAAAAGTCTAGAACTGGATATGACTAAAGTGATTAAGCAATTGTCGAGGACAATCTGAGGTTTGCCAAAGATTGGTTGCTCAAGGACATTTGGAAGTATAGTGTTAATTTTGGTAGGACCATATTGACATTTTCTGAAAAGAGGTAACTCTTGTTCGGAAGTGATAGTCAAATGGGACTATGGAAATGTCTCCATAGGTGGAAGTTATTCAATCTATGTAAGATTAGGAAACTTAATGCAAGAAGGATGTTCCCAAGGAGCTGATCTCCTTTGGAATGCTCTGTAATGGTTTTTGTCAAGTCTTTCTGACTTTGTGCATAATCATTACAATAAGGATTTGGGATTGTGAAATGAGTATCATTGGAATTATGTTCAATTGATCTACATCACAATGTAAGGATCATAGACAAACATAGTGTGCATACTTGGGGTATGGCATAACTATTGTTTAGAAAAACAAAGTGTACATGCTAGGAGCATGGGACGACTGTTGTTTTTATTCAAGTCTTAAGTTGATTATTTGAAACATTGAATAATGTGTAATCAATATGGTGATAAATAAAAGGTGGTTTTATTTATATTCAAAAGGGTTCTGAGACCATATTAGATTCGATTATTATTGTGTTTCACTTTGCATGTTTTGACTTCCAAAATAGCTAGGTTATTCTTTTCGAATGACTAAGTTATTTAAACACTCCACAGTCGTTCATATGTTGGAAGTAGGTATGAATCAAGACTGTCATGAATCGGGTTTGTAGATGGCTAAATGGGTTTAGTCATGGCAATGGTTGCTACAACATTCATGAGTGCTCATAAGTTATGAGTATTGGAATAAACCCACGCTCACTTGTATCACTTCATGGAATTTATCTCGAGTGATCGTGAGACGGTAATATCATATAAATCTTCAAACCTAGAGATATGAGTTGTTACCTATGAGTTGGTTGTGCATTGATTGCACGTAAACGCATCAGTAACTTGATGTTATAAAACGTGCCTTTGTGTACAATTCAACAAGTAGTAGAACAAGCATATGAGTCGAAGTTTATCTGTTCCTTCTAGAAATAGAAGCGATATCTGGGCCCCTCGATGATTTTGTTGTGACCTATGTACCGGCCGGTCAGAACTGAATTGATGTGTTCGATTAAGTTCTTTGTCAAACAAATCGAAAATCGGGAAACAAACTGCTGGACAATAAGTACGACGTTGTTCCATGTATTTGTCCGGCTGATATCATGAGAACAGAGGATTATATGATCCCTTATCTAATGGACAAGTCATTGACAAGGTCAGAGTTCGACAGAAGCTTTTGAGAGCTACGATTGCCAGTTGGTTCCTGAAGTCATACGCAATAATAGTTTTAGACTTATCCAAGTGGGAGACTGTTGGATTAATGTCTAAGTCCATAACTATAATTGGTAAGACTTGACCCGACCCGGCATGGTCCATTTGGGTTGCATACCATCATGCACTTGGATAGACTATAATGAGAGAAATAAGACACTTATGGTTATTAATATATTATAAGTTCTAGTATATTAATAATAAGAATAATAAGATTATTTAATTAGTATTGATCAAGAATTAATCTAGGATTAATTAAGTGATCAAAAGAAGACTAATTAAATATATGGGTTGATTGTGTAAATCATCCATACTTATATAGTGGGCTAATGCTCCATGGATAATCAAGTTGGGCTAAAACCCATAGGATGGTCCATGGATGCTCCATGGTGTATTTGAACCCATGGATCCAAGGAAATGGAAAGCCATGACAATTAAGGATTTACCCTAATTGTAACACTATATAAAGATATTATTCTTGACAAAAATCGGCCACTAGAGAGTGTAACAAAGGGCTAGCCGATTTCATGAAGTGTAGGACTCTCTCAAGTTATTCTAAGAGTTTTGATGATTGTGATTCCATTTGAGGCTTCCACACTATTGGGGCTAGGCACTCAAGCTTCATGAAGACTTTCTACATCAAAAAGGTATGTTATTTATCTTGTTACACTCATTGTTTTGTATGCTAGATTAGGATAATACCTTGGATGTTCTTATTTGCATGTATAATAGAGAAAACATAGATCCAAGGTATTTAGGGTTGCATGTACACTTAGGAGTGTTAGAATGCTCAAAACCCAACAGGGTGAACTACTAACAACCATTGGTAGGGATGCCAACAACCAGGTTTATCCAATTGTTTAGGCTGTTGTTGATATGGAAAATAAGTCCAACTGGACTTGGTTCCTTGAGCTACTCAATGGTGATCTATACCTTATTGATGGAAGGGGCTTGGTAGTTATATCTGATCAACTTATTGTAAGTTTCTTTATAACATATTAATCCTTTTCAAACTACTTATAAACACTTACATGTATGCTAGTTTTTGTATAGGGTTTGTTGCAATTTGTTAAAGATATATTGCCACATGTGGAGCACAGGCAATGTGCCCGAAACATATATGCAAATTTTAGAAAAGCTTACACTGGGGTGGAGTTGAAGAAGTTGTTTTGGGCTGCAGCTATGAGCTGTGTGGAAGGTGATTTCAAGAGACATATGGACATAATTAAAAAGCTCAATCCTAGTGCATATGAGCATATCATGTCCAAAGAACCCCAAACATGGTGTAGAGCTTACATGAGTACAGGGAATGCATGTAAGGCAGTGGAGAATGGTATATCAGAGTGCTTCAACTCCATCATTGTGGATGCTAGGAAAAAGCCATTGATCATAATGCTTGAAGAAATAAGGATATACATCATGGAAAGGTTTGCTCACATGATTGAGGAAAGCACTAAATGGAATACACGTATATGTCCAGCAGTGTTAAAGAAGATGAAGCTTTTTGGGAAGAACATGAGGTAACACTTTTTCATGTAACTTATGTTTTAAATTTATTAGGTAAAATTTTAACATGTAACTTTTCTTTTAATTTCATTAGGTAGACCGTTAACATGTAATCTTTCTTTTAATTTCATTAGGTAAAACTTTAACATGTAACTTGTGGATATAGGTTTTGGTTAGTAATTCATAGTCAACATGTGTTTGAAGCAAGGAGAGGATGTAATAGATACATGGTGGATTTAGATGGAAGGTATTGTACCTGCAGGTTATGGGATCTGGCTGGGATCCCATGTGTTCATGCCATTGCAACCATCAACTATATCCAACAAACACCTGATGAGTACATTGATCACATGTTTTCTAAGGAAAAATTCCTTAAGTGTTACTTTGCTAACACTAGTCCAGTGAATGGTTCAAATCTATGGCCTCAAACTGAATTTGTAAAGCCCTTGCCACCTGTGTCAAGGAGAATGCCTAGTAGGCCAAAGGTCAATAGAAGGAGACATGTAACTGAAAATGATGGAAGAGTACACACCCCAAGAACTATAAGGTGTGGTTAGTGCTTTGAGTATGGCCATAGCCAGAAGGGATCCAAGAATGCAACCAGGGAACCTATCCCTATGCCACCAAAGAAGAAAGGAAGGAAAGGAAGGAACAATGTGAACCCAATCAAGCATCATGTGATAGGTTTGAGAGGCAGGAACACATCCCTATGCTACCAAAGAAGAAAGGAAGGACAAGGAAGGAACAATTTGAACCCACTCAAGCATCATGTGATAGGTATGAGAGGCAGGAAGCAGTTCCTATGCTACCAAAGAAGAAAGGAAGGGCAAGGAAAAAGGTCCAATATGACCCAAATCAAGCATCAGGTTCTAAATTTGTTAAAAGCAAAAGGAAGTTGGGGATAAATTTGTAACAATTCTTCATTACCCTTAATATATTACTAATACAGGAAAAACCAACAAAACTACATCTTAATAACCATTATTGCTAGCATCAACGATATAACCACTAATAACCCTATGATCAATTCTAACAATGGTTTGATCTTCTCTATATGACACATCTCCATATTTTGACTTAGTTCTTCATCTGCCCATTTGAAAAAACCACAGTTACCTCCTTCCACCTACAAAAAAAAAAAAAAAAAAATTAGGGTTCTATTACATATGTTCCTCTTTGGGAAGTTAGAGCAACCCTAAAATTTTAGGCAGAAATTAGTACAAAAATAAATAGATTTTTACCTGATAATTAGGGCAGCCCCAAAATTTTCATCCTGGATTATCAGGTGTTAATGAGATTGATACGCCAAAAACATCACCACAGTCGCATCTTATTACCTTCTTGTTCCTCTCTCTTGTACCACCATTGAATCTTTATCTTGAAGACGCAGTTGTCGTTTTTCCATTATAGCTTTATGACTAACTGTGGGGTTCGAAGGGATCAATTGCAGATGAGGATGTCAAAGAATGGGTTTTTAAATGATAAATGCCACGTATCTTCCACTTAAGCAAGTGGTAGCCGGTTGATTAAAGGGAAACCGGCTACTTGGCAAAAACGACACATTAAATGCAAGTTTAAGGCAAAAACGGACCTAAATTTGAACTTTGGGCAAATCCGTCAATTTTGTGCAAATATGAGGGTTTTTATGCCATTAGCCCAACTTTTGAGTGTAAATAAAACATCTTTTATTTAATCCCCATATTAATTACATATCATTCATTGTATATTGTTTCGATTTATCAACTAATACTTGAATTAAAAAACAATAGTTATCCCATGCTCCAAGCATTCACACTATGTTTATCTATGGTCCTTACTTTGTGAAATAGATCAATTGTAAACATTTCGAACGATACTCATTTGACAATTCCAAATCCTGTGTAAGATCACCAAGTTCTTGCCACTTATTATAATTTGTTAGATTCTAAACTTATATGCAGTGATCCTTTTTGTAACAACTATGTACACATGTCACATAGACTTTTTCAATTAAAAACTTTCCATTGGAGATTTTTACAAGACAATTCCATAGATCCGAAGTCTCATATTCAAAGCACATTCCTTTAAATATCCTTCTTGCATAAGAGTTTCTAGCTTTCTCATAGATTTTTGATATCCAACTCCTATTATGGAAACATTTTCATATTTCCTTATGACAACTCATTGTTAATAGAATCTTATCTATCCATAATAATGTCAATATGGTTCATCCATTACTATACTTCCAACTATCCATAAGCAACCAATCTTTAGCGAAGCTTGGATTATTCTTAGCAGTTGTTTAATAACTTTAGTCATATCCAATTCTATTCCTTTTTCCCTCTTAACACCCTAGGCATTTGGAAAATTAGAACACATGAATATTATAGCATATGTAATCAAACCTATATCTGAAGCATATGGAATACAATTCATAATGTCTTACATAAAGACATGATACTTGACCAATCTTCTATTATAGAATTTCCAATCTTGAAGTATTTCAACATGGCATTTATATAAATCATTGACTAAATTTTATTAAAATCTCAATCTAAACATTTAGAATTGAAATGAAGTATGAGTTCCTCTCCTTTAATTATAGCAAAACAATTTTTCAACCCTGCAACTTTGCGAATTGAAAACTTTGTTTTCTATAATTAACATTGCTAACTTGCAACACTTACCATAATAGTTATGCTCTCACTAGCATAACAATTATTATGTTACTTGCATAACTTTTATGCTCCCATTAGCTGTGACATAAATCCATAAATCAGCCGAACTTCTAGAAATCAATACTTTATTGACTTTCTTACCAAAGTTTAGAACTCTCACACGAGATGCTTCGATAAGCCTTTATTTCAACTCACACACCTTTTATTAGGAAGCTCATATGTGTGTCTAAATAATTTTAGAACTTACAGCAATAAGTCTCAAATGTTTAGACCTTTTGCCATTTCTCACAATTCAAACTATGAAGAGGGATGCCATAGTCATAATCAAATTTGAGAATGCAAATATCACAATTGCTAACTGTTTAAAATCTACTTAGTGAAAGAGTTTCCTCACAATCATTTTCATGAATTGGAGAGAAACCTTATGACACTTAGATTTTTTTATGGTGTATGTGTTCCTATCCATGTGAATTTTTCATAACCATAATATTACGACAATGTAAGTGACAAATCCAAACTCATATTGACTGAACCTATCTTATCTTAATTCTTTGACACTTGGTAGCACAAGGGCCTACCATTGCTTCCAGGTTGTAATGCAAACATGTTAGAACTCAGAGAACTCACATGTATAGTCAACCAATTGGAACGGGAAAAAAATAAGAATATGTCAACACAATAGGTTACAAAGCTTAACTCGTGTGCTAGTGATTAACAATAGGTATAAATCTTGATTGGTTCTCAAAACTTTTCAAGATATTTAAGACTCCCACAGACCTCTTGGCGTATAAGCGTCTATCTTTCAAGAAAAATTACTTGACAAACAAATATTCAAGAGTTAGTGCAATTACTTATCAAGACAAACACTTTTGACAATCGGTCTTAGTTGATCGTTGTTTTATCCAAAACATTACAACTTACCAATTTCAAATGTACAAGAGTAGAAAACTTTTTACTCTATATTTGTTGACATGTGACTCAATATACAATCTTGGAGTATGACTCTACGATTTGATTCTGGAACGAAGTATGATTCATCTTAATTGATTTAACCATTTCAATAACTCACGATTCCTCTTCCTAGCCATACAAGTGCACTAAGATGCTCTTAGAGGATCAATTGTGATATGCTTTCATAATCATTCAGATGATCATAAAACATGATACTCAAGTACTCTCCCATCTTTTTAGATTGGAGAAACTTTTAGCTTTCTGCCGACTTTGATTCTTCTTATTTGTTCCGCTATATATTGAGACTTTTCAGTGACTCACAATTATACTTAATCTTGAAAGCATAACCATATTTACTAACTTTAGTAAACCATAATGTATTGTCTTATCATTATTTGTGGTGGACTTGTCCAGCGCACAACCAAGTGTACCCAATCCCCTAGTCCTTCACTTGACTCACATATACATGCGGACAAGGAATTAGTCTTAATTTCCCAAAGATGAAAATTCTCATTTATCATACAATACAAGTTGCATGATTCCAAGTTTCTATCCAATCAAAACTTTTGTGATGAAAATCCTTCCATATTTAGTAAATTCTTGACACTACCACAAACGAAATAATCAAATCCATGTTGCTTACAAATAGAAAACTTTTCCTTAAAATGCAAATAAAAATGAAAACTATGTTATTACAAATTTCTAAGCAATCTATCATAACTCCTAAGCAGCAACTCAAAATTATGATCATCGAACTAAGCCATCGAAATCCATCTTTTCACGATTAGAATTAGCTTACTGTTCCTTTAAGCTTCCTTTGTTTTCATCGATCCTGCAAAACGTAAAAATGTAGTTCATTACATCATATATTAAGAATCTCCAAATAGGAGCATAATAGAGTTAGATAGTGGACTTACCTACAACAGAGTCAAACTTTTTGATTCTACCTTCTCTTAGATCTTTCTGGTAGTCTGGGCAGCTTCGCTTCCAATGTCCCTTCAAATGGTAGTAGAAACAAATGGCTTCTTTTGCATCGACACATGAGAAAATCCTAGAATCGACCTTTCTCTTGTGATCAAAGCTTTTGAACATGGACAATTCCTTTCCTTTAGGAGAAGGAATCATTTCTAGAGTATCGATGTCATTGCCTATGTTCATGGCAGCTTGGGAAGTAGATCTTCCAATCATGTTTGCTTGATCATTTCTCCAAATCATTGTTGATTCAGTAGCAATTAGCAAAGAGGAAAGATCAATAAGGTTCATGTCGTGATCTGTCACATAATAGTCTTTAACGAGCTAACTATATGACTTGGGAAGTGACTGAAGAACCAAGTCAATAGCCAAATTCCCCGGGAACACGACACCCAACATTCCCAACTTGTCAATATGCAGCTTCATGTCCAATAAATGAGCACATATGGACTTTTCCATCTTGATGTTTAATTGCAAGTAGGGCTTGAGTGACCTTGAACTTTTCAAGTCTTCGATCTTGTGGGCCAGGGAGAATAATTGGAGGAGGTGGAGGAAGTGAAGTATGATATTGTGAAATATCATCTTCATGTGGAAATCCTTTTCCAACAGATTTGGGAAGACCATAGTTGTATGACCTAGACATCTATAAAAGGGAGAAATTCAAACAGTTGATTTAAGTCCTTAATATAACACCCAAAACGAAATATTAAAGCTAGGACCCAACACAATATTTTATAATTGCGAAGATGGATGCCGTAATCCAATTGTAAAATATTTGAAGGTAGGTAATGACAGTTTACCAATTTCTACCATGAAAAACGAAATAAATTATTAAATTTTAATTGGATTTGAAATTCCTAGATCCTTTGATATTCATTGAAATTTTCAATGGCATGTTTAAATCTCGATTGTGCCCTTCAAGTTTGTGACTAGGATGTCGAGGATCAGAAACAAGGTGTGAATAACCATGCAATTTATCTTGGTACACCCAATGTTACAAATCACCTAATAAATGTGCCGGTTAACCACATACGCTCCATTGATCTATGATTAAGATCAAGCTACCCTTTTCCACACATTTTTAGTCCCAGATTAGCGAACCGGTTAACCACACACGCTCCACTAACGACTTAAAAAGGTGCAAAGTGCAATTTCATTGATTAGCACCATTTTCACATTTTTCCTAAAGTAACTACGATTAGGAATTTAAAAGTTTAGTTACTTTATATTTATCATTATACTTTTAATAAGGGAGAATTAATGTCCTATCCTACCAATTCAGCTAACGACCCTCCACCAATCAAGGAAGCGGTGGGTGAGAGTGGACACCCAT